CTCCCCCTCCTTCCGTGCCTCTTCAGCTTTTGCTGGGCTCGGGCCGTCGTAGCAGCCGAGGCTACGGCCTGTGCCGTGTGGTCGGTAGGTGGGCGTCTACACGTGTTTTACGACCCTGTAGTCCCTGTCGCTGACTCCGTCTGTGGCGGTCGCGCGGCGCCTTTCTTCTAACAGCGCTAAAGCCTCGAGAGTCGTCTCTTCAGTAATAAATATATTAAATAAATAACCTGGGGCCTCGCTGCACCAGGGTGAGTCCATGTCTGTGCGCTCCTGGCAGGGCCCTGTGCGTGCGTGTGTGTGTGTGCGTCTGTGATCCCTGAACCGTTGGGCTGGATGTGGCACACACTCCCCCCCCCACCCCGCGGGTTATCAGTCTATGCGGTTGCCACAGATGGTGAAACGGTCTATCTCCAGCAGGTCCTTCTTGTGAGTCCTGTGTTTGGGGCCCTCCTCCTCCAGCCCTGTGTCCGTGTTGATAATCTTGTGGTGGTGGTCATCGTCGTCGTCGTCTTCGTCTGGTGTGGTCAGGAATGTGTCCGAGGGGCTGGTGGGCAGCGTGGGGGCGGGGCCGTCCGACACGCGGGTGGGCTGAGATAGGTCTGCTGTTGGCAATGCCCCCACTTTCTCCGCCGCTGGATCTGATTGGATAGGAGCAGCGGGATTAGAACCGAACACACGCACACGCACACACAGCAAGGATCTTACTTTATGTATGTTTAAATGATTTTTGAGTGCACGTCATATGTTGTGTGTATTTGTGAAGAAAGAAAAGATAATGTTTAATGCTTATCGCTATGGAAGACATTTGTCAGTTTGTCAAAACCTACAAAATACGCTCCAAGGACGAAAAACACCAATTTAGAAATCAATTAACCAAAAAAGGTGTGTGTGTGTGTGTGTCTCCACCTTGCGGGGGTACGGTGTGAGGGTGCTTGGCGCGGTGAGCTCTGGAGTTGACCCGGCTGGAGGCGACGGAGGGCGGCGGGTCGAACAGCTTCTCCTCCATGTTGGCCTGCTTGACGAACGCACACGACGTGCCCAGCAGGACGATGCTGTTCAGCACCTTCAGAGTGATCATCCTGCACACACATACACACACACACACACACATTATTCCTACACTCAAACACCACATGAAATAAAAATGTCTATGGATGATAAAAACAAATGACAATTCAGCTGAATTCCCAACAACTCGATGAGAGCAGGGAGCAAAATTAACTTCTTTGGCCACCGGCCAAATGGCTAATGAATGTTCAAATTTCATCAGCCACTCAATAGATTACCATTGTTTTTTTTTTCTAGGGAGTAAAGCAAATCTACCACATTTTACCAGCATTTGGCTGGTGGCCGGTGCAAATGTTGTGCCCTGGATGAGAGGAAATATTATTTACCCCAAATAAAACAGCAGCACACACATATAGGAAAGGGAGCCTTGGATCTTCACAGAGCTGCTCACCACTTTGATCAACTGAAGAAGAAACAAACAAAAAAAACAACACCAAATACAAAGGAGGCACATTAGCGTCAGCAGTTATAACAGTAACTGTCTATCTGTGAACTGCTGACTGAGAGGGACTGACCAGCAGAGCCAGAGGAAGAGGGATGAAGCCCATTCTCCTGGACACTGAATCACTGTAGTCTGTGTAGGCCTGTGGATGTAGTTCACACACACACACACACCGATTAGAAAATACATCCTAAACACACAGCCACTCACGCACCAACACCCCCATGTCTGCAGTTATGTGACGTACGTTTTTCTGTCGGCTGCTGACGAGGTCAAAGGCCAGGCTGGCTCTGTACTCTCCATATACCTGGGAGGAAAACATTATGCAAAATATTATAGTGACATTATTAATAACAATAATAATTATAATCATATGTTTTTAATAATTTAATTCATCAGCATTATATAGTTGTTACAAATGGCAAAATAATATATTCATTTAGGTTTTCTGGTATGTTCATGTGTTGCTATTAAATATGAGGTCTTCTGGTTCATCTGTGTGCTTGTGTGTTTCCAAGTGCGCGTGCGTGTGTGTGTCTAGTTAGAGTGCAAATGAGATTAGCAGAGTTGTGAGAGGGGTTTCAGTGAATCCAGTTTGACTTTGTGGGGATGAAGGGGTTAATCTCTTGCTGTGTGTATGCGTGTATGTGTGTGTGTGGGAGGGGGGGGGGGGGGGGGGGGGGGTTGGTCTTCATTACAAGCAAAGGGAAGGAAAGGGAATACATGGAAGGGAAGAAAAGGAAAGTTAAAGTAAATAAAGTAAAGGGACGGGAAATTAGATACAAATACAGCAGAGAGCCAGGTTGACCAGAAAGGTAAAACTGTGCGTGGAGAAGGGACCCTGCGATTGGCCGACTGCCCACTCCAGCCACCGTCTCTACCTGGCAGGTGTGTTTGTGTGAGTGAGAAGACAACAAAGCCAGCCTGTGTCGAGGGAGCCCCGCTAGACCCTGGAAGTAGGTCCCTTCAGTGGGTGAGGCATGGAGGAGGAATGCCGTGGACAACAGAGGGGAAATCTAAGACCACATTGTGTTGGTCTGTCCTCAGAGACGATTAATGAGGATGAAGTTTGAGTTCGTATCCTAATATCTACCTGGAGGCATCTTGCTCCCTCGAGCAAGCCAAAAACAATTCCCTGTAAATCGCTTCCAATAAATATACTCACATCAGCGCTGATGTCGTTGAATTTGGTGATGAAGGCGTGCTTGACGACGTCCACGGCAACCTCGGAAGCGATGACCATGATGACATCGGGACAGAGCACCCACAGGTGGTCTGTTGGCACGACAACACAGATAACATCGTTATAGTAAACATTACATTCATCATATAAATGAAAACAGAGCAATAGTGGGACTGTTTAGTGTTCGTTGTGCTTTGTGTTCGTTAATAGGACTAGCAGGCGTACAGCTGTAGCTAGTGGTGTGAGTCATGTGGTTGTAAGCCACTTGTAGTAATCTCTAGGGATGGGAATCGAAAACCGGTTCTTGTTGTGAACCGGTTCCCAGTGTTTCAATTCCTTGGAATCGTTTGCCAATTTTGCAAACGATTCCCTTATCGATTCCAGTGGACGCGAATGACGTCACCACGCACGTTGCGTAGCGACTCCAGTGCAGCCAGCAATCAACAGTAAACATGGCGCCCAAGCGGTACAAACGCTCCAAAGTTTGGTTACACTTCACAAGAAAAGACGACAACAGGGCAACTTGCAATACTTGCAACGTGGATATTTCCTCAAAGGGAGGAAATACTTCCAACATGCAAAAACATTTGCGCACACAGCATGCGATAACGATTTCTGAATGTCGCGTTTTCGATGCGCTCCGGACGAACATCACTGAATCCTTTTTTTCCAAATGAGAATCGATAAGAGAATCGATAAAGAACCGAATCGTTAAGCGGAATCGAAAATGGAATCGGAATCGGAAAAATCGTATCGATTCCCATCCCTAGTAATCTCTCTGTGGCATTACGGCTGGGCGATGTGGCCAGTAATTTCTCATTTTTTGTCAACACTTTGCTGTAATGCAACAGCTAGGAAAAGACAACACTTATGCCACATCACGATATTATTACGATACTCAAAAATCTAAGACGATATCTAGTCATATATTACGATATCGATATAATACTGATATCAATCGATTGGCTCATTTCCATCGTTTTAATTTCAAAATGAAGGCCGGTTACCAGGGTTCCAGGAGAACTGCTCCATGTTCCTCAAGCAGACGATGAGAAGGAGGATGTAGTTGGTGAACCTCTCCTTGATGTCTAATCAGAAACACAAATCAACCCAGGATTCTCAACTTTAAAAACATCAAATCATATGCCATTTTGCCTTTATTGCCAGGATATCACACTATGATGAGTCTTGAGTCACGGCAAGAGTTGGGTTTATTATTTGCGTCACTCACCGCTGTTTGACATCTGAAACAAGTTGTTCTTCTCAAACTTCTTGAACACGCTCCCCTTGATCTCCACAAACTGTCGAGAGATATTTAAATGTCATGCACTGATATTGCAGGCATTTTAAAAGGTGTGCGTGTGCATCTCCTCGATCTATTTATTTATACATGCTCATACCCATTTCATTGCCTCTGGCCCTCTCATTGCCTCTTAGCCTTTCACAGCCTACATCATTCATAGATCTTAATAACTTAATAATTCATGTTTTGTTTTAATTCCTGTTGTTCAACATTTTGTTAATATTTTGCTTATGTCGTGTTGCTGAATGTCTTTTATGCACCAACCTCACCAAGTCACTTTCCTTGTAAGGAAAATATACAAAACAACTCTGATTCTCACATTGTTGGACATCATGATGGTGAGCAGGGATTGTGTGTGTGTGTGTGTGTGTGTGTGTGTGTGTGTGTGTGTGTGTGTGTGTGTCCTCACATTGTTGGACATCATGATGGTGAGCAGGGACTTGTTGTGGGAGTTGAAGGCCACGTTGAGAGTGGTGGCCTGGACCATGATGAGGAGGGCATGGAGGACTGAGGAGAGGTGGCCGCTCAGGAAAACAACAACAACCTACATACATAGTTATAGCAAGCCAGTAGCATGACACACCGCAGTTTGCTTAAATGCAAGTTTCTGCATACATTGGTCAACAAAAACTCATAGTATATATGTGGATTTCTTTTGTTCATTTTTTATGAGTTGATCTTTTTCATTCTTATTACAGGTCCTCTACTTGTGCTCCCACCTTAACTCATCTGAGTGTCACCAATGTCTTCCATTCGCACACATGCCAACATGCGTGTGCTGTTGTATGTATACTATGTATATGCTTACGGATCCTACACAGAGAAAGGATACAGACGTAAAGCACCGCCATGAGGAAGTGAGGGATAACTCCTATGTGGGCCCTCTTCTTCTCCTTGGGCTCGGTGGCTGTCCAGTACAGAGCGTCCAGGATGTCTTGGCCAAAGGAAGAGAACAGCCGGTCCGCCACCTGACCACAACAGACCCAGGAGGGGAGGAAGGGAGGGCAGATAGTCTAGTGGTTAGAGTGATTGACTCCAAGTCGAAAGGTTCTGGGTTTGAACCCCAATGTCTGCAAATTAACTGTAGACCTCTTTTACCAAGATGCCCAAACCCTGCCTGCTCAATAATTACATCATAATAATAATTATTAATATCATAAAAATAATAATGATAATTATTAGTATCTATATCATAAAAATAATAATGATAAAAATAATAATGATAATAATAATAATAATGATAATGATAATAATAATAATGATGATAATAATAATAATAATAATAATAATAATAATAATAATAATAATAATAATAATAATAATGTATCTAAAAGTGAATGAGTGAGTGAGTGGGTGGGGGAACCATGATACGTGGCGGTGGGCGTTACCTCCAGCATGTTGTAGATGATGTAGAGCTTGATGACGGACTGGCCCCTGATGAGGTGGTACATCATGGAGTAGTCCACATAGCTCATCATGCAGTAGCACAGCACCATGATGAAGCCCTTCAGCACGTCGCACACCTGCGCTGGCTGCAGCAGACGGGAGCCACTGCAC